TTGCATCCAAATGGCTGCAATTTGCAACTTCACCATTAGATGCAAAATCAAAATCAAAACACACTGGCCATTTAATTTTTAATCTAGCATCAGCTGGTCAAAATTTCAATTTGTCCAATACGGTTTGTGACCACAAACCTGCAAAAGTAACTGCATCCCCACTAGCCTCAGCTGTAGTTTGTGTTCAGAGCTAATTAACAAATGTTAGCATGCTTAACTAAGGTAGTGAACATGGTTAACATACCCCATTTCAACTTGACAATGCTTATCATTGTCCTTTTTAGCATGTTAACATGTTGATGTTAGCGTTTAGCTCAAAATATTGATGGGCTAAATATGGGCTGCTGTGGCTCAGATGGTAGAGCGAGTCAACATCTAATCGGAAGGTTGGGGTTCGATCCTCGGCTCCTCCCACTGCATGTCGAAGTGTCCTTGAGCAAGATAGTGGACCCCAAATAGCTCCTGATGCTGTGGGTCGCTGCTGCATTGAATATAAATGTGGCATTAGAAATCAACAAATTGTTTTATTTCAAAATGTCTTTTTTTATTTAACTTCACCCTTTCACTTAGTATAAACTAAGTATACGCTTCACACTGTTTACATCCAGCATTCACAGCAGGTGTGGTAGTAATTTGTGCCTTGTTGATATGACACCAACCACATAATAAATCTTTGCAGAATTCCAAATCAGCATATTGATTTCATTGCTATTTAAAGGTTACAAAAAACTGACACTGTTTAGATAATTTAACATGCAAACGATGAAGTTGAGTCATAGCAGTGTGGTTCACTTCTGGCTCTTCACCGTATCAAGTCTCTATTTCACATTCCATGCAAGCATGGGCAACAGCACTCCAAAGTCATGCTGGGAGGAGGATGTGGACTAAGCACAATCTTCAATGTGCTTCCCCTTTCATATTGTTGGACAAACTAAATGCAGCCATAAAGATGTGTGCGTTAGCTTTAAAAAAAATGTAGGCCCACTGGCTTCTGGTCCCATCCTTGTTTTAATTGAACTGTTGTACATGGTGGCAAAATTCACCCTTGGCCATGTTTTACTTACTTTTCCACTCCTTCAGATCCATCTTTCAGCACTCTTTACATTGTGATCCATGCAATTTCTCTCCCATTATTTTGAATCAGTCCCTTGTTCCTGGTTTGACCGCATAATTTTTACTCTGTCTACTGTCTCCTGAATGAGGTTGACCACCAGACTCCCGCTTTCGCTCTGCTCCTTGGTCTCCTCCAGCACAACGCTCCAGCAGCCAAACCACAAGCCTCAATTACCCAGCATTCCTTGGAGAGCATGAGAGAGGCCTCATGTAGCAGACTATGAAATTAACATTCATGACAAACCTCTTAAGCCATGAAACTATTTCATGAGAGAAACAGTTGCAGAATTTCATCATTGACAAAAAGTCATCCCGTCACTTTTTTGTATTTTACAGGTTTCTGTTTTCTGACAAATAATAGGAACTTTAAAAAAAACTGTCATGACACTATTCTACCCTGAAAAGCTAAATGCAGTAACTATACATTTAGTAAAAATTTATCTAAGGCGAGAATCAGACTTTATTTTACCATATAAAATGATTTTATCCCATTGAAATAAATAATTTCAAAGAAAACAGCATGTTAAATGTGCGGTTACAGCAAAACACAGCTAAAACCAGTTCCAGTCAGTTAAAGCTAGCAGTAGATAGCTACAACTGGCACTGCCTAAAGCTAAATCTATCTAGTTTTCCCAGATAATTAGCTGTTTCCTGTAACTGAAATCAATTTGGTGAACTAACATCTTGAACTAACTTATCTCACAAAATGAAGCAGAACCAGAATATAGTTGTGGAGAATAAAAACAGCCAAACTATTCCCATAGATAAAAACGTCCCATAAACAAAACATAACGATGCTTACTTTCAGGTGAAAACATACTTATAATATATACACCGATCAGCCATAATATTATGAGCACTGACAGGGTGAAGTGAATAACACTGACTTATGCTGGTTATCATGTGCTCCTTGTTCGCGTGTGTCAGTGGGTGGGATATATTAGATAGCAAGTGAACATTTTATCCTCAAAGTTGATGTGTTAGAAGCAGGAAAAATGGGCAGTGTGAAGATTTGAGCAACTTTAACAAGATCACAATTGTGATAACTAGATGACTGGGTCAGAGCATCTCCAAAACTGCAGCTCTTGTGGGGTTTTTCTGGTCTGCAGTGGTCAGTACCTATCAAATCAGGAAAGGTGTCAGAACACACAGTGCATCGCAGCTTGTTGCGTATGGGGCTGCATAGCTGCAAAGCGGTCAGGGTGGTCATAATATTATGCCTGATTGGTGTATAGATTTATAAATGTATGTATGATGTATATTCCATTTCTGTAAACACATCCTTCAAAATGTTACACATTGAACCTTTAAAAGAAATTGCATCTTCCCCATTCCTTAAAGTTTTTCTAATAGTCTGTTATGTAGTTTTTGTTTTAAAATAATAAGTAATTAAGCCACTTGGGCAGTTTGGTTGCTATTTGTGCAAAATAATACATTTGCTTTAAATAACTGTTTAACAGAAATAAGAAGCATGTTGATTAATCTATTAATTTACATGTACGGATAAATACGTGCAGGGCATGAAATATAAGCATACAAAATTTATTTTTTTCAAACAAACTCAGACAGATTCATAATGCATAGACAGGGATTTTAATGTATGTTTGATTTACAAATCTGTTCAAAGTCACTGGCTTTCACACTGAGCAGTAGTCACTTTTCAACAAGCCATGATGCATTGCATCTGTGTATACCGTTGCTACTGTAGCCAACAACAGCAGCTCTTAAAAGGCAACATATTTATGGTACAAATACTGATTTAAATAACACATTGGTCATCCTCTCCAAGCGGTTGATGAGCGATTAAAGGAGAAACCTTCACACAAATCATCTCTTTCCTTTAGGTTGGTGTACTGTCACATCCTTAAATGAAATGTAGGCCTGTGTGCTGTAAAAATGCTAATTATCAATGCAAAAGCTGCTGTAATTGATCTAAACACCCTGTAGTTAGGTACTGTTAAGGGCAAGTTCAGTATCTCTCCATTCCCTAACTGTGCTGCTAATATCACTCCTGCTATTTTCCTACCAAGCTGGTTGAGTGGTGAGGTCATGGGATACTACTTGCTTATGTATTTCATCGCTTGTTTCACTGCACTGGAATGTAAAAATCCTTCGTTTTCCGTTTCCACAAAACAAGAACAAACATTCAGTTATTTGTTTTGGTTGTTATATCCTCACTCACACCGCTCAATTATAACAAACTATTCTCTTAATATCTCAAGGGACCTTTGCACCTTTGGGATTGGGTGTGCTGAACTAAGAGAAGGAGTTGAAATATGTAAAAATAAAAACATTGTATATTAATACTACAAAATTAATCATCATTAGGCAGATTACAGGGGCTAACTCAGACTGCAGGAGTTTAATGAAAGCATTGGCATTGCTTTCATTATCAGGAGATCAGTTGTGATAGTCATTCTGCCAATATCAATAAGACTGTGGATGACGACTGCGTCCTCGTGTCAGCTTTCCTGTGCTTGTTTGGGTCCTCCTCTGTCACATTAATTTACGAGGTACAAACAATTCACACTAAAAATCTTGGAACTTTTAGCTACGTTTTATAATTTGGAGTCACCAGTTACATTACTGTCCAATACACTACAACGCATACCCAATAGAAATGCAGAATAAAGCTCAAAAACACTTTTTGAAGCAGCACATTGAACTTGCTTTAACTAGCTGAAACATTATCAGAGCTTTTGTTGCTCTTTACTCATCTGCAAGACAAGCTTTTGAAGAGAACTCTGAACTTGTTAAAGAGTAAAACATATAACAAAATCTCACCCTTTACCAGTACTCAGCTCATGACAACTGTAACATTATCACAAGTAGTGTACACACTATTTATTGTTGATCGTGGGATTCACAACTTTCAAGCCATGTCATGCAAGCACAATCGGTACCAAATCACATCAGTACCCAATGTCTATACTGTAGTATCAGAAAGAGAGTGAAAAATTTAAAAAGAAACTGAGGATAGAGTGATCAGAGGATGGATGATGCTCATGTTGGTGGAAGATCTCAGCGGTTCTACAGTCCCTCAGTTCCTGACTAACAGCTCCTGAAATGACGTATACAACAAATTCATTCAAACAAATGTGCATGAACCTCTTTTACATCTGAAACACTTTAGAGCAGAAGATTCTTTATAAAATCCAGTAAAAGAACCAACACTGCTACGTGTTTGTCAGTGCTTGTTTTTAGAAAAGTCGGCTGAGTGAAAAATGAATACAGAGTACGTACTCCTAATGCACACACAAACATTAAAAGCAGTAAGGGATCCAGTAAAGATGAAGTGAGTCAATCTGATGCATATTCACATTCTTTAATCCAGGTTCTTTCTAAACAGGCTGCGTGTGGAGGAAATGTGCCTGTAGAAGATGAATGTAAGAATAAAAGTATTGTAATGACAGTATGATTACATTACATGGTAACAGGTGCATATCAAATGTTTTTTTTTTTTGCATTCACACAACCTACTTAATTCTACTACAGCCTAGTCTTAAGGATGGTTAAGCACACTGATCCATGCTTTTTAAGGTTTGCAAAAGATTTTTTGCACAAAGTGTACTGTGGGATTTGTACTGAAATAAATGAACACAGTTCTTTAATATGTGTCAGAGAGAGAGAGAGAGAGAGAGAGATGGCAAAATACTAGAAAATATTTCTGAAAAACACTTCTTTTAATAAATGAGGTTCCTGATTACCCTCCAGAAAGGTTTTAACAATACTACAGTTGGCTTTCCCATTTCATACTATAATATTAATTGATTTAATTTCCATTTAGAGCAGATTCACTGAAAAACAAAATACACTTGACCATAATGGCAGTGTACAGTGTGCGCACAGTCCCCCCCCCCCCC